GCCCATGTTTGTATTTTCATGCGCGTATGTATTATGATATCAGCTCTGAACCTTCCCCGCATTATCTGCTGCTTGCTTCAGACCCTTCATCTGTCGGCGCTTACATTCAGTGCTGAGATTTTGAAAGAAATACTCCACAGCAGATGAATTGTGCTTTGGCTGCAGAGCTCCTGCCACAAGGATTACAAGCTCTGTTTCTCCATGCTTGAATACACTCCATCAAAAGCACATTATCCTCCACGGCTGTGGCCAGCTGCCTAATTGTATCTGCTGTACCCATGCGCTGCTGGAACATGATACCACAGAGGAACAGGAATGATGAATTACCCCCTGCAGGTGATAGTGATCGTGATGATTTTTAATTTCCTTCTTCCTCCTACAGTCTAGAGTCTAGACTGATTGCATTTCATTGGCTGCCATCTTCTTCCATACCCACATGGGTTCCCCTTTGTAAAAAGACCTACCGCCCTGACACACGTGAAAAAGTCGTTTGTTTAATTCTTACTCATTATTCCTCAAATGCATGGGTGTAAAATGAACTGCTTACTTTTATGCAAACAAAGTAAACAAGAAAAATGTGGCTTAAAGAAGACTTTTAAAATGATTCTGTTTATACCTGCTTAGTGTTATTTTCTTCCTGTGACACCCACAAGACACATGAGCAATTCCCTCTGGAACAGTGTTCTCCACAATAGACTTCTCCATGTGTCTGAAATGTCAGAATCAAAACATTCTCAAGTGTCCAGAAGTCACTGTCCCCAGTGTCTCTCTCATCCTGTCCTCTGCCATCACTGTCATCTCACTCTTTACTGTGGTGGCAATGGCTGCCCATTCCCCTCTCTTGGCCTCTGACTGATCGAGCTGAGTGTGTGTTTGAGGGAGGGTGTTGTTTAATATCACCCTGACTTTGTGGATTAGCCAGTTACTTTTGATACTTGGGCTTCATACCTTTTTCTTCCAAGCAGTCCCTGCTGCCACCAAGATACCAAGGAAACTAGCAGCAATGTGCCCTGTGCCTGCCCTTTGAGCCCCTGCTCTCCCTAGGCCTGGCTCCAGTTGCTCACTGCTCTTACCCAGGTGTCGTCATCTCCAGTTCTCTGTGATGGTGTTCGAGTCTGGTGTTTGACTTCCGAGGGGAGAATAGAGGTCATTGAGATTAGCACTTGGAGCCAGATGTGCTGGTGCATGTTTTTAATCCCAGCACTTAGGAGTCAGAGGCAGGCGTGTCTACGTAGTGAATGCCAGAACAGCCAGGGCACCACAGAGAAACCCTGTGTCATAAAACAAAGAAAAAAGTTCAAAGTTAGCACTTGGAGGACCTAAGACAGCCTTCCACAGTGATGCCAACAGGATGATGGAACTGTAAAAGCTTGTTATGTTCTCTGGAAGGTACGGTTTTGTTCTCAAACCAGCTGACGTTTGATTGAAAACAGCACTTTGCCCAAATGGCTCTACAGAAGTCCTAGCTCCAGCCATAGTTCAGCTGGCTTCCCCAGCTGCGCTTCAGGCCGAGTCTTCCTTCTGTCTCCGAAGATTCACTCGTCTAGTAGTCAGTCCTGCTGACGGTACCCAGACCGGTGTGGCTCATGTGCTCTCCAGTCAAGTGTGCTGGACGTCAAAGCACAGTGCGCGGTGAAAGGGCAGCAGCCACGTGGGCAAGCCAGCCTGGGCTACATGGTGAGAACCCTGTCTCAAATGACTCCAGAAACTCTGGCTTTCCAGAGCCAGTGTGTTCTGTGTTCACGGTCCCGGGAAAGCGCACTATAGAGCAGGTTGTCTATAGATCATACTCACCTTTTCCTATGCCCCCTCGTGTGTCTGCGGCCTCAGTCTCCAGATGCCACTGGGACACTGGTCTGATGAAGAAGCAGAGGCAGAGCAGTTCCCAAGTGTGGAGTCAGTCAGGAGGGTTCCAGTGCTAGTCACCAAAACAAAAGAAACGTTTTGTTTGTTTCTTGTTACCCCAAACTCATCAATATTTCTCTCACTTTTTAACTTTATCTTTGGTTTTTTTTAGCTAAAATTTATAGATGGTTGTTTGGGGTTAGAAGACAGTTCTAAGATATCTTTGTACTTTGAAATCCCTCTTGAGACTGACATTCCATCATCATTATAGCTATCCTGCCAGGTCGTTGATTGACAGACTGCTTTTTATTTAAAAAAAAAGAGAGAGAGAGAGAAGTAGTTTTCTTTGTGATTTTTTTTTTAATGCATCTCAGAATTAAGAAACATCTTTCTTATCAGGTATGCTTTCTCTTGCTTCTTTCTGCTCCCCAGTGTCTTAATGATAGACAAAAGAAGAGCAGGTGGAAAGGTCTGGAAGGTCCCAGCACCAGAGATGCCCTTACCACAAAGACAGTGTGAGCCACTATCCTAGCACACAGATACATCCACCAATCTGAATGCTCCCTGACTCTCCTTCTAAGAACCCTTAGATTTTTAAAGAAGATTCTATTGTGTGAGTGTGGTTGATTAATCTTTAGACATTAGTACTTGTCTCCGTCCATGGTCCTCTCCCTTCCCAGAGGAAGATTGTACCCAGTCATTTCCCTTCCTTTCTAAATAAGCCAGCCTTAAAAACATACAACAACAAGACAAAAACAAAGATAGTAATAAAATCGTTAGATTCTTATCAATTTTCTTTATCTGTATTCATTTTTTTGGTAAATCCTTAGTGTACAATATACAATTGATTTAGTCAGTTATCCTAACTATATAGAGCTAGCTGCATTTAAGAGACAAGGAACTAAAAATATACCTAAAACTGTTTGAGAGCTATATAAGATGGTGCTGGGTGAGAGATTTCAGCTATGCCCCAGCCCTGCTCTTAAACAGACTACAGCCTGAGGCAGGCAGAGTGTGATCAGTTTGGGGCGCGGTACACTCAAGTGGTATCTGCTCAGCGCTGTACCAGGAGTACCGTGGGGGACAGGGCAGACACCAGAAATATACTTACAAAAGCAGCTGGCTTCGTCTGTGAAGGTGCCGTAGGTATAGACGACCCAGGATTTGTTATAGAAGCTCACTGTAGCCTCATGCCTCTCTGGAATAGCCAGTGTCTAAGAACCTCTGCTCTGTGATTCTGTTGGGAGAAGTATCAACAGCATTTCCATTCCCTCTTTGGTGTCTAACGTGTATTGAACTTCAAGGTTAAGTATTGGATTTGCTTTGGACTCAATGTGAAATAGCCCTCCAAGATCAATAAAATTCTCCATTCTTTGCAAAAGTGGCAGAGCATACAAATTGACCTGATGGTGAATTTTCAATAATCAATGCCTTGTTTTTAGCGCTTTGTAAGCTTAATTTAATGCCAGTTTTGAAAACAGATTTAGTCCACCTAATCCATTATGAAAGAAAGGGAATGGTAGCATTTAAGTTTTAAACAAGCCAAGGTGGAATTGGGCTGCAGAGATGCCTTGGTGGTTAATAGCTCGTGCTGGTCTTGCCCAGGACCCAGGTTCAGTTCCCAACACCTACATTCAGCAGCTTACAACCCCTGCAACTCAGAGTCAGGGGATCTTTGCCCTCTTCTGGTTACCACAGACATTAGGCACACATTGAAATGACTAGGTAAGGCCATCCTGATCTGACTCCATTTTGTGTTTACTTAAATGGTTTTCAACCTTCTACCTCCCACCCACCCATGGTTCCTTCTGCCTTGACAACATATTTGAAATTTCTATGGCCTTGACTATGGTCCAGATGTAGTAGCCAAAAATAATTGGAAGGTTATGTCTAGAATAATTAACTGTCCTCTGCCCGGAATGAGTGTTCCAAGGTTCCTCTGACTCTCACTGGATCTTGATGTATCTCTTCGGGTTTCCTTTAAAATGTTGTATCCCTGAACTTGGGCACTGAGAGACTTTTCAGAGTCTCAAGCCCACCTTGGTCTGGTTGTCCATGAAAAAGACTTAAAACTTTGAATTATCGATTAATCATCATGTTTGTCAATAATTTATCTCATGTGGATCATTACCATGTGGTGCTCACAGCTACATACACATAAAATAAAAATAAATATTTTTTCAGATGTGAAATATATATTTATCTGAATGTGTTAAATCTTTTTCTGGAGACTGTCTTGTATTGTCCCAGTAATATTTAGAGTTAATTTTATTGGTTTTCCTTATATATATGTTTTCCCACATATGTTTTGTCAAAAACATGTGTTTATGATATTTTTATAAACAGTTTTGAGTGCTATGATTTATGCTCATTTTTAATAAATAACATTTAAAAATTGCATCTGCTAATCCCATTGCAAATTTTTTTTTATTGGTTTTTCAAGGCAGGATTTCTCTGTGTAGCTTTGGAGCCTGTCCTGGAACTAGCTCTTGTCGACCAGGCTGTCCTTGAACTCACAGAGATCTGCCTGTCTCTGCCCCCCAGTGCTAGGATTAAAAACATGAGCCACCACAGCCCGGCTCACAAAATTATTTTAATTTGCTTTAATGTTGGGCAAACTAGATTAAAAACAATAGTAGTTGCAAAAGAGTGCTTCTCCTGTGATCCAGCCCCAACTGTAGCCATGATCTCACAGATGGCGTCTTTTGTGAAACAGTCTGGACTGAGCTCTGGCACTTCCGGCCATGCCTGGCGGTGCCTAGCTACAGATGCCTAAAGTCTGAGGAGAGCTGGAGGGCGCAGGGTGACTCCCTTGCTGTCTGCCAGTTTCTCAACTAGTCTGTTCTGCCAGTCTAGCTGGGCCTCTGCCTAGCCTCCTGCCTGGGGCAGCCTTGCTTTACTATTTCTCTGATAAGCCATTTATTGATGGTTTGATTAGCCTTGTTACCCTTATTATCACACAGTTCTATGGGGAAAAGCCAATTGTGGTCTTCATTTTCCTTACAGCATCTTTTCCTGGAAAAATAGCGACGAGTCAGTTGTGAGGTGCCTAAGCTTTGAGATAGTTTCTAAGGTGTCAAGTCTTAAAAGACAGAATAGTTAATGATTGTATCGTGTAATTAGTTTAATAATCTATCATATTTTTTAAATCACAGGCAGTCGCTGGGTACTTTGATATATATTTTGAGAAGAATTGCCACAACAGAGTAAGTATCATGAGTTATTCATAAGGATTAATTATATGGAGTACTCTGTTTGATTTGTGCCCTAAGGTGTTTGATCAGAAGCGTTTTGCTGTTGTAAGCAGTTGCAGCTTGTATTTGATGTAGTAGATTAATGTACCATGATATTAAAAATCGTGTACTTCATCAGATACTTCTGAACTTTGCCAATGCAGGTCTTGTTCTCTACGGGCCCTCAGAGCGCCAAAACACACTGGAAACAGACAGTGTTTCTGCTGGAAAAGCCGTTTCCAGTGAAAGCAGGTGAGAAACATTGCCTTCATTCTGCGGGGATGATAGTCATCACATGTCCTTAGAGGAGCATAGCAGAATTCTAGTAAAGGAGAGGTGGTGGTTTCAGCTTCTCTACATAGATGTATGCAAATAGCTGGAAATCTTCATGGAAGTGGGGGATTGCAAGGGTCATTTCCAGCCTCGGTTTCTCTCGTTTTGTTTTTGAGTGGTATTTACACACACAACATTACTTACTTGACACAGTAAGTAATGGTTTTGGTTTTGAGACTAGGTCTCACTTTAAAGCCCAGGCTGGCTCCAAGCTCATAACAATCCTCCTGTCTCAGTTCCCTGCATGCCCACTGCTCTTCTTCTCTGTAGCTGCCATGTTTACTTACCATCTTTTCTCTGCCATCTCAGCTTGTTTTCACATCTGCAAACCACTGTAAAGATTTCTGTGGTCATGTGCTGAGAGGCCGCCAAAAACACCCAGGGAAGGCGTGGGGAGGGGGCATCGTTTCTGTGGCCATGTGCTGAGACTGCCGAAAACACCCAGGGAAGATGTGGGGAGGGGGAGCATCATGACTTGGAAGTGTCCTCCAGCAGGAGCATGAGTTCTGTTGCGCTAGATGGGAATGGCTCTGGACAGTTGTCAGACTTCTCAGGCTACACAGGGGTTCAGCGTCAGAGTGGGGCTGCATATCACTATTATGCTAAGCTCTGCATCCTGTTTCCTGACCTCTGAGATAGCTTTGGTCTCACTGTTACTGAGTAAATTGAATGTAGGTGCAGAGGAGGCTGTTAGAGGAAAGCAACATCTTGCTGGTGCCTCTCACTTCAAGTTCCAGTGCTGTCTGTGGGAATGAGACCTTGATAGTGCCATTTTCTCTGAAGAAAGCTGAAGCATAGCACAGCTGACCCGAGACTAACACAGCCGAGGCTTTGGATGCAACTCTACTTTCATTTTTGCAGCTCACATTGGCCTCGCATGAAAACTTGAAGGTCCTTCTTGTAGCCAGCTTGTCATCTTAATTCTAGGACTCTAAAGTCTCTCTCAGATAGATAAATAGATGAATAGTAGGTAAATAGATAATAGATTGATAGATAAATAGATGGATAGTAAGTAAATAGATAATAGATTGAGTGATAGAGATGATAGACTGATAGATATAGATGGTTGTTAGATGTCAAAATAAGGGAGATTTAACAAACAAGTTTGGAGTCCCTCACTGCATAGGGGCGTTCTAAGTGCCTGTCCTCAGGGTAGTAGCAGGAAGAAGAGGCCTAGGGCAGAAAATAGGACACAGTACATGTTCTCCACTTGATAATAACTAGAACCCGCAGTTTGAAGTCATTGAGAGTTAAGTAAGATAAAGCAAATGGCATAAATTGCTGATCAACAGATTGAACAATGCACCTTATAAGCCAGACCAAAAGAAAGTATTAGTAGAGAAAATGGAGAAAGCAGAGCCTCAGATCCACATCAGAGGGCTGGCAGGGTGGTTCAGTGGTCCAGGTGCTTACTGCCAAGCTTGACAATCTAAATTCAGTCCCTGAGACCCACATGTAGAAGGAGAGAATCAACTCATAGTTGTTGACCGCATGTGTGTGCACATATACACACACACAGAGTGATAAGCGTGTGTTCATGTACATGCATTAAATAAATAAATGTAGTTTTAAAAACAGAAAAAAATGCTTTAAGTTCTGTACATTTAGAACTACAGAACATTGAGAGAAATGAAATCCTATGAATGGAGAGGTGCGCTGTTGGTTGGTATATCCTCTGCACCATACACAGAGACTAGCACACTCAGTGGATTGTAGATACCATTTGTTTTTTATCAAAACTTGTATTACATTTTATTTATTTGTATATATAGGTGCACACGTGGCACAGTTCCCATATGGGAGTCAGAGGATAGCTTAGGGGAGTTGGTTCCTGCTATCCACAGTGTGGGTCCCAGGGATTGAATTCCTCACTTAGGCTTGGTGGCAATGAACCAACATCAGATCTAGATACGTAAAATTTAAAGACTTTAAACTGTGTAAAACGCATGGTCAATAGATCATCTTTTGACAGGCTTATAAAAGGGAATGTTGGCAAGACAACTGTATATGCCATCAAAATTTTAAACTCCCTCATTGGACAGTTTTGTCCAGATAAAATTCAGATTTTCCCAAAGCTGTTTTTTAAAAAACATTCTTGTCTTCCAGCTTCACCCTTTCAGGGCCCAAGACTAACTCATGCCCCAGCTGCATCTTCTTGTTGGGGCTTTTGCCGTGCTTTGGGACAAGCCCAGGACATCATAGATGCCTTGGCAAGCACTCCACCACGGAGCTGCAGAGAAGACATTTCTTAGTTCACTGTCCTACTTTCTTAAGAACTTCCTTGGGTAGTTCTTAGGTATTCAAAGTAGTCGTCTCCATCTGCAGCTGCTGTGGCTTCTTTGTGTATAGAGTTCCACTTCTGCTCTGTTCACTCTTGGGAGTCTGCTGGTTGTCCTCAGTCCGTGGCTCTCTCCTCTCCTGTCCTCTCCAGGTCAGCTTGTCCACACATCTGCTGCTGCGTCCCCTTAGCGTGTGTCAAGTTCTAACAGCACGTTTGTGTCTCCATATGCTGTGCTGACTTCTAATGGCATGAGTCCTTAGCCTTTCGATTTTATCTGGTACTGTGGCTGAGGGACTACAGTAAGACTACTTGCTTAGGTCCCATTCTTCTGTCACTTAGGGTGGCACCATGCCAAGGCACTTAACTCGCTGCTGTGTGACCATCTTGCCAGCTTCAGTGTGCTTGGGGACCTTACTGTATGGCTGGACTTAAGTAGGTTGTTTTATCTTGCATGGCTGAAAAGAATTTTCAATGTGTGGTTTTGTGCCTGGCAGAGATTTTAGGTAGAGTTCAAGCCAAGAGTCTATTTTGAAAATTTTACAATTTATGAATTTTGATATCCATGATGTAACATGCAAGATGTTTGTTTGTTTGAAGCAGGGTCTCAAGTGGCCCAATCTGGCCTTAAATTCACCATATATGTGAGGGTAGCTGAACTTCTGATCCTTTGGCCTCCTCTTGAGTGCTGACATTATCCGTGTTGCACTAACATACACTGATGCAGCATGTTTCAGTATAGCCGTTATACTCTGCCTATGTTGTTTACATGTGCATGTGTCTGTGTCTGCTTCTGTCTGCAACAATGGCCAGTGTTGTTTGGTAAACTAAATTCACTCCCTGCGAGGGTAGACTGAATACTTAGAAAGTAGGAAGACGACTGGACCTGATGGTTTACTCTAGGGAGACAGGGGCAGGTAGCTCTCTTGAGTTCAAAGCTAATCTGGTCTACATGGAGAGTTCCAGGCCAAGCAGAGCTTTACAGCAAGACCCTGTCTCCAATTTTAAAAGAAAAAAGAAATAATAATTAAAAAAGAAAAAACAAGGGGAAAAAAGCTGCGAATAAGGAATTTCTCCCACTGAGAATGTATCTGAAATAAGAATTCAGACAATTCATTTGGCTAGGAGCAGAACTCACTAGGTTTCTGTTTGCTTTATTTACAAGCTAGTTCTAAAAAAAAATTTGCAAAGAAACAGCCCACTTCAGAATTTAGGGTGCTCCAGCTTGGTGATGGGGAGCTGTCGCCAGGATGGAGTTTAGTTGCAGAAGACATCCTTTTAAAATGTGTGGTGTTTCTTTGTATCCAAAAATAATACACTTTTTTTTTACACAGCTTACACAACAATTTGTATTACAAATCTTGATCTGTTTCATGTTTAAATTTGAAAATATGGTTGTCATCAGGCTGTTTCTTTACACACATAGTGTGTTTGCTCAGGTTGTTGACACACACAGTGAACTTGCTCAATGGTTACATACATACACAGTGAACTTGCTCAGGCTGTGTACACACACAGAGTGAGCTTGCTTGATGTTTACACACACAGTGAGCTTACTCAGGCGGTTTACACACACTCGATGCTTACACAGTGAGCTTACTCGATGCTTACACACACAGTGAGCTTGCTTGGGCTGGTTACACACACAGTGAGCTTGCTCAGGGTGTTTACACACACTCGATGCTTACACACACAGTAAGCTTGCTCGGGCTGTTTACACACATAGTGAGCTTGCTCAGGCTGTTGACACAAGCTTGCTCCAGCTTTTTCTCTCCATCCAGAAAGAGCTTGCTGTACACTCTGAGCAGCATCAGTTATTTGTATCTGCCTGACACTGACTAATTACTCTTATCTAGCCCGCTGTGACAGCCACTGCACTTGAGTTAGGTGCGGACAGTTGAAGGGAGCTCAGCAGTATGAATTATGTGTTTACACTGTGACCCTTCACACCATTTAATTAATTTCAGTAAGTGTGTATTGCACCCTAATCTTTGAAATGGCTGCTGTGGAAGAGAGATAGATCTTTTGTTTTATCTTCAAACATGAGAACAGCAGCAATGTCAGCTTCATATTTAAGGCAGTTCATGCTTAATGTTTCTCCTAGTGTTGTGAGTTCTCAGCCCCTGTTTGTTTCAAATAAAGGCAGTCATTTTAATAATTCTATTGGGTGCATAATTTTTTCTGTGCTTTCCTCATTGTCTTTGTGTCCCTGAGACAGCCGCACTCTATGGTCCAGTATCTCCTGCCTCAGCCCCCTGAGTGCTAGGATTATGGCTGGGTCACCGCCCAGCTTTGTGTTTGTATATGTAGTTTGCATTTGTCTGATTCCTGATGACATCAGCATTTTTCATCTGCTATTGGGATTTGTGTGGTGCTTGTGAGGAATGGGATTTTTGAGACAGTCTCTCTCTGTGTCCTTGCCTGGCTTTACCAGACTGACTTTGAACTTGCTATCCTCCTGCTCCTGCCTCTGCCCCTAGGTTCTGGGCAGTAGTCGGGTGCTACCACATCCTGCCCTTTTGCTGGATTTTTAGGTGGGTTATTTTTTGTCAGTTAGCTGTAAGAATTGTTTGTGTTCTTTATAAGGTAGGTGCATTGATGATGTCTTCATCCCAGTTTCTACCATGTCTTTACAAAGAATAGCCATAGAATAGAGGTTTTATGAGTTTTACTGTCAGCCATTGATAGCATGTGCCTTTTGTGCTGATCCTAAAACTTCAGCTGATTCTGACAACGATGTGTGTTTCTTCTGAAATGTTCAGGCTTGCTCACAACATTTAGGTCTCTAATCTATTTCATGTTCATTTTAAGAGTTAGTGATTCATCTTTTCAGTTGTTCCATCCTCATTCTCGACAGAACTGTCCTCCATTTAATTACCTTGGCGCCTTTGTCGGAAGTTAATGGGCCATATGCATATGGGCCTCCTTCTGAGCGCACGCTTTGTTCTGTTGATCTATGTGTCTGTCCTTAAGTCAGGAGGACACCATCTTTATAAACGTTGATCCTCTAACTTGTTCAAACTGTTTCGGCTCTTTCAGATTCCATTCACATATACATTTTATCCACTGGGGTGCTGATGAGGGTGCGCTGAGTCCACAGACCAGGGGGGAGAATGTGGTCCACATGGTGCTGAGTCCAACCCCATGCATATCCAACATATTTCATGGTTGTATGTCGATACATGGCATAAGTTCCCTTTACTCTGTGTTATGTACCAAAACAAGTCTATTTAATTCATGAAGTGGCATCTTCTCAGTTTCTGAATCAGTAAATGTTAAATTCAGACCAAGTTTATTGGCATGAAATGAAAATTTAAAACTACAAAAGGAAATGGCTCAGCTGGTGAAGTGTCTTCCCTTCAAGTGTGGGGACCAGAGTTCAGATCCCTAACACCCACATAAAGAGCCAGGTGTAGTACCACGTGTGCCTGTGAGCCCAGATTAAAAATCCAGAACAGCTGATCCTTGAAGTCACTGGCTAGTCTAGCCCAGTTGTGAGTGCAGGTGTAGTGAGAGACTCCTGTCTCAAAGTAATAAAGTTGGGCCAGGAATGATGGCACACACTTTTAATCCTAATGTGTGGAAGTGGGGCAGAAGCAGGTGGATCTCTATGACTTCAAGGCCACCTGAGGCTATATAGTAAGACCCTGTCTTAGAAAACAAAAAATAAAGTAGACCCAGCTGAGGAGCTGTTGGCAACTGTTAAGCTTCTGCGAGAGAGCTGTCAGTTTTCTTTGGAGTCCCTGGTCAAGTCACTCATGTTCCATAGAAGGCACACCGACATCTAAGAATATATGAGATATGAGCAGCACAAATTGGACTTGATGGGGTTAAACAAAACAAACTGGGCGCTGTGGAGCACAGCTTTAATCACAGCAGCTTTAATCAGGAGGCAGAGGCAGGCGGATCTCTGTGAGTACAAAGCCAGCCTGATCTATATAGTGAGTTCCAGGAGCTTGTCTTAAAAATAACAACAAGCTGGGCGGTGGTGGTGCATGCCTTTAATCTCAGCACTCAGGAGGCAGAGGTAGGCGGATCTCTGTGAGTTTGAGGCCAGCCTGGTCTACAAGATCAGGAGAGGCTCTAACTCCACGGAGAAACTCTATCTCAGAAAAACAAAAAACAAACAAAGATAACAACAACAAAGAAAGAACACCAAGCTAGGTGGGAGGGAAGGAGAATGGATCTGGGAGGAATTGGAGTGGTCTTATTAAAGCAGGGAATGGTGAGGACACCACTGTCAGCCTTGCCTTGTCACTGTAACTGCAGAGAGATGGGGGAAGTGAAATGAGGTTTCGCACTAGAAAGGCTCAGACATCCCAGTGAGTCTTCAAGAAAGCCTGCTTGCCTGTAACAGCTGCGGTTTCATGGAACTGGTGTGTGCTCACTGTTGGGCCTCTGTGGTTCCTCCTGTTTACATGGCAGGACACTGAAGGCCGGCAGCCATGTCTTGTACCTCTGTGACGACAGAACAAGAGACCCACTGGATGGTACGTTCTTACTGTTCTTACTGTGTGCTCTGCCTTACTTTGTAGGTGAAGCCTTGAAAGGAAAGATCACAGTTCACAAGAATAAGAAGGATCCTCGCTCCCTCATTGTGACCCTGACCTTGAACAGCTCAACTCAGACTTACAGTCTCCAGTGACCATCTTGGTCTCCAGCTGCCCAAAACCTGAAGCACACATGACTCTCGGTCTTTAACATGGGATCGGGCGGTCAGTGGGAGGGGCGGGCTCCACAGGGCTGCAGCTCCTGGCTAGAAAGTGTAGAATAGAGTAGGGAGCTCAGCAGAGGACCGTGCCCTCCTCCTGCTTCTGCTGTGGGACCCTAGTCGCAGAAGCCTGCATGGCAGACTAGCTGAAGGGAGCCCTCTCCTGCCAGACTGAGAGTCATTTAAATTATTGGCTTACTTTTGAAACAGTAGTAATTCTGGATTTCTTTTATATATTTGTAAGTTTCTTACTATATATTTTTTTTAATAATGAGCAGGACAAAGCCCTGTTTTGTTGGAGGTTTCCTTTCCGGAAGAACAGTTTTTAGTTGCATCCTTTGCTGTAATATCAAGGTGTCTTAAGACCAGAGAACCAGTGGACAGGACAGAGCAGTGGCTTCTGCAGGTCCTGTTTGCAGAGGCTGAGCCTGTCCTCTCCAGCCAATTGCAGCTCAGCTATCTCTCCTCAGCGTTCTCGAGCCATAGATAGCACTGCCGGGGAGTCTGACCTCAGTACTTACCCTAGGTGTAATGGAGTCCTCTCAAGGCTGAGATGGATAGAGATGCCTCTCAAATGCTGCCTTTCAGACCAGGTCACACATGCATTTGCTAATGTTAGAAATCATGTTATTTCGGTTGGAAGAATGAAAATACTCAATAAATTGTCTAACTATTGGAGAATTGAAAGAGTCCTCTTTGTACTGATTGCTGTTGTGAGGTCATAAACATTTAACAAGTCAAGGAAGGTGTCAATTTCAAGAAGCAGTAACTCCAGCAGGTGAACCAGGCGTGTTGTCTGTCCACACTAGACACCAGTAGGAGCTCAGACTAGTCCTGAAGTGGGTGGGTTCCCACGCAGCTGTAGCTCTCATGTGCTCTTAGTCTCTTTCCTTAGCCCGACTCCCCTTCACAAGATGTTGGTTATGTTAGTACAGTTCAGGTGTTGAGGTCAGAGCCTCAGTAAGAGGAGGCAACAGTATTGTCGTTGTTCATTAAAGGAGCTCTTCCCAGGAACACAGAATGAATGAGCAGCCTCAAGCAGGCTGGCCTTTACAAAATTCAAGAAGGGCTACAGCAGAAAAGAACTGGACTGTCAGCGGAGGGAGATAACCCATCAGATTTTGTATTGTATTGTTTTGCAGTATTGAGATTTAACTCAGGGCCTCACCCATATAGAGAAACACTGAGCTATGACCCAGCCTTCCTTTTTTCTTCTTCTTCTTTCCTTTCTGTTGGAGGAGGCTGCTTGTTGGTTTCTGGCCACCCAGCTAGCTTAGACCTGAAATAATCACACAGAAACGGTTTTAATTAAATCTCTGCTTGGCCCATTAGCTCTAACTTCTTATTGGCTAACTCATATTAATTTAACCCATTTCTATTAATCTGTGTATCGCCACATGACAGTGGCTTATTGGCTGAAGTTCCCAGCATCTGTCTCCAGCGGCTCCATGGCTTCTCTCTGATTCCGCCCTGCTTTTTCCCTAGCTTTCCCTCCCTACCTAAGTTCTGCCTTGCTATAGGTCCAAAGTAGTTTCTTTATTCATTAATGGTAATCACAGCACACAAAGGGGACTCCCACATCACCTTTCAGTGAATAAATATTTTCTACTATTTAAAAAAGTATTTCTCAAAAATTACCCCTTTTGCCAGGCATAGTGGTGCACACCTTCAATCCCAGCACTCAGTAGGCAGAGGTAGGTTGAACTTTATGAGTTTGTGGCCAGCATAGGTTACATAGTGAGGCTGGTTTCAAGCTGGGGTTTTTGTGTCAAAGGATAGGGAAAAGGAGGGATTTTATTAGGGGCAGAATGGAGGAGTTTGCTGTTTTCCTTAGGTAAGCTTGTTATGAAATTGGGTTTGTTGTCTGAGGATGGGCAGCCACTTTTCTACAGTTTCCCAATAGCTGGTTTCTGAGAGCTTTGAGCTCAGTTTAGGTCCTTGGCATTTGGGATATGTGTGGAAGTGTTCCTTAGGGGAAAATTGTCTGGATGTTTTGTTTTGTTTGAGTCTCATGTAGTCCGAGCCAACTTTCAGCTTGCTTTGTAACCAAGGGCAATATTGGGCTTCTGATTCTATTACATTCACCTCCTAAGTAGTCTGTTTATTTTCTGTTGACAGAGGTTCCTGTTCCATCCAGTCCTGCAGCTGTTCAATCCCAAAGAAACACACAGAGGCACACATTAATTATAAACTGGTTGGCCTAGTAGCTCAGACTTCTTATTAATGAATTCTTATATCTATATTAACTGATAATTCTTGTCTGTGTCAGCCACATGATTTGGTACCTTTTATCAGTGAGGCAGTCACATCTTGCTTCCTCTGCATCTGGGTGACAACTGCAGACAGTCTTTCCTCTTCCCAGAATTCTCCTGTTCTGCACACCCTGCCTATACTTCCTGCCTGGCTACTGGCCAATCAGTGTTTTATTAAAATACAAGTTTTTATCACCTTCTTGGAATTTACCTATGTGTCCCACTTGTACCTGTCCCTTAGGGTGGAAGAAACAAGGTCTCATGTGAAGTTACATAAGATTAGTCTCAGGGCTCCGTAGCCCCTCCTCCTGCGGGAAGGAATATTACGCTACTGCTAAGAGCTTTTAACCAGAGAAATAGCCAGACTTGTCAGCCATCCACCACCATCATGGAGACCAGACCTGGGTCATTTGTAAAGACTGAAATTAGCTCATAGAGCTACAGATGTCGTCTGTACCTGCTCTCTTCTCGTAAGGAGACAGTTTGTGATGAGAGTCGAGGGTGAGGAGTGCCCAGTGGGCACTGAGTGCAGCAGTTTTGGTTCAGTGCCCTTAGGACGCCACCTTCTTTATTTGAGTCTCCTGCAGTTATCCTTGCACCCCCATGTCAGCTAGGTAATTGAGACGTGGCTCACACCGCTAACGGTGTTTCCTGCCCCCATCTGCAGTGGGCTCCCCAGCTGCTCTCATGCTCCATAGATAGTTGTGGGCTTTCCACCTCCGTGAGAATATCAGGTTAACCCATCGATAGTGTTCAGGGACCATGTTTCCTCAGTTGAGACTGAGGTAAAATGTGGGTGAAGTAAATTGAGGTAAGGTTTATAGTCTGTGTAGAAAAGCCACTTAGGAAAGGAATAAATGTATTTTTAGTGGCAGCCATGAGAGAACAATTGCCTCCTAGGACTCATGACTGGTCACGGCAGAGAAGACGGGCACAGCAGGACAGAGGTTACAAGGACGTTGCTTTTTAAAATCAAAAACATGGAGCGAATGAAGCAATTGCAGGTCCATCTGTGCTGATGGAGGGTTGACTAGAAGGTAATTTTTCAATTTGTCTACTTTAAGCACGTCCAAACAGTTACAGTTACTGCTCCGTTTCAAGAAATCTAGAAAACTGCAACTTTGTGGCTCTTTATCCCCTAAGTTCAGAAAGCTCCAAGAGGAGAGGCAAACTCCTGGATAAGCAAGAGCCAAATATCGTAGCACACTAGTCGTCCTAGTGCTCAGAAACCGAGGCAGGAGGATGGCAAGGTTAAGGCCAGCCTGGTACAGCTCGATATATCCCCCAAGGCTGGTGTTGGTCTTTGATCCCAGCCTATAGTGCTATTTTGCAAAGTTTTAGAAACTTGAGGAGGGACAGAATCTGGAAGTAGGTTCCTGAGGCCAGGGTCCTTGCAGAGATCTATCCAGGGCTCCTTCCTTAGGACCAAGGCCTTGCATAGACTCCCTACAAGCCCAGAGGGCCAAGTGAGTATATGCCGATCCTTTGTGAACCAAAAAGCAATTCTCAGGCCAAGCTTGGTGGTGTAGCACACACCTTTAATTGCAGCACTCAGTTGGGAGGCAGAGGCAGGCAGATCTCTGAATTCCAAACAGCTTGGTCTCCATAGTTCCAGGCCAGCCAGAGCTACCGAGAGAGACCCTCTCTCTAAAGAGAAAAACAAGAGCTAAACTTCATTCCGCCCTGATTTGGATCAGAACGGTGAGGGAAGTTACGACGCATAGCAAAGCCATCTCAACAACCCTGACAGAAATGTGTCAACAGAAGTATTAAAAGCTGGAGTGTCACAGCTCTACCGTAAACTACAAAGTGACTCAGTGAATGAGTGACTGCAGGGTCTGAAGGAGTTTTCAGGGGTCTGGCAGACCTCCAGATCTCTACGAGGGGCTGGCTGAGCTTATTTCATGTCAGCAGTGTTTGCCTCAGACACCGACGCAGGATATTTAGTGCGTCCTTGCCCACCTGGCAGCGGGGCATTGTTGCCTTGAAGGGCTCGTCTGGTTTTTAACCTCGTCTTGATTTTGAGTGTCTCCTTGCTTTAAAGTGAAGCTTTCCAAGCAGAATGATAAATAAGCAGTTTCAAAATATCTTTACAATTCGTTTGACCATCCTAATACATTTTTCATATATTGTCTGAGCATCTTGGCTGATAGCAAGTAATTCATATTCTTCCAGGTCCGGATTGTGGATGAATCATACATAAAAATGATCTGCCACTGAATTCATTTGATAGTGGAAGTTAACAGGAAAGGAAGGAAGAAGGCAACTAAGTTACAGTGTATTCTCTGCACAAAGTATGCATTCAGTAAAAATGAAATCTCCATTAACAGCGTGAATCTTGCTATGGGAATGTTAAACCAAAAGGTAACTTGGGATGAGCTCAATTTATTTATTTATTCATTTTAGGTTTCTGTTTATTTATTGTATGGGTATGGGTATATGCATACCTAGTATCTGAGGGGCCAGAAGGAGGGCATCAGATCCCCTGGAAATGGAGTTATAGGTGGTTGTGAGCCATCATGTTTATCTGGGAATGGAACCTGGGACCCCTGGAAGAGCTGTCAGTGCTTTTAACTGCTGACCCATCTCTCCAACCCCTAGCCCAGATTTAAGAGACAACAATTGCTTATTCACCTGTTTGCATCATGTCTGATTCTTCATAGCCTCATTTTCTGTGGAGTGATATAAATTTGGTCCACTTTTTAAATTTTCAAAATAAACGGAGTAGCACATGCACTTCTCCTGGGGCAAAAGAGAGACATTAATCACTCCAGCTCGGGCTTGAACAGCAGACGAGAAAGCAAGTCCACCAAGTTTAATTGGAGTTACCTACAGGAGCATGGGCAATTAGAAGTGACTCTAACACCTAACGAAATCTATTCCTCAGCAACCAATAACTACCTGTATATCATGGGGAAGGGGAGGCCCCATGATCATCTGAAGCTGAGAGAGTTTGTGAGGGCAAAATTGCAAAATGGTAGCATCTGAAATCGTGTTGCATCATGTTGGTAGTAGAAGTGAACCCATACACACCAGTCACCGCCAGTTGAAATGTGGAGGCCCAAGAACGAACCGGGAAGATCATTGATTATTTGTCTCCAAGGGAACTACCTGTGCCATGGCATTGTGAATCCATCTGTCTTTTTAATACATCATCATTTTGACTTGAGAGAAAAACTCTCACGCCATGACAAGTAAAACAGAAGGAAGGCTTCCTTGCTAACAAATAGTAAAACTCCAGACGCTAAAGTTAGAATTTTGGAAAATAAGGCTCCTCTCATGTGAGCTCCAGGCTTCCCAGTATTTGTCTCATGCAGATAACCACAGCTGTAGTGAGTACCACGGCTCCATGGCTCTGGTGTCCAGAAGACACAGCCGGGTGGCACAGGGGTTTCTCCTTGGCCAGTGGAGGGCTACAGTGCCACTGAC